TTTTGTTTAAACGCACCAAAATATATAACCTTTTTTTTTTCCACTGAGAAATGGATAAAAATATTTATTTTCAAAATGGGGTGAACTCATTTATGTTGAGCACTGTAAACACTATTCATTTCTGTATTTACCTGTTATAACTATGACTTATTTTCGCACACTTTATTGCACATTGCTTCATAAATTAACCAAAACACTTGGTGAATTTCTGGTGCTGAAAACTGTGTATTTTACAGCAATCTAGTTCTATCATATACAGCTTTTCCTTTTTTTGCCTTTTGGTGCCCACTGAGATTCCTTTCTTTTATCTGCCTGAATGTCTGTCATTATGTAAGATTAAATCTGGTGGGCTACAGCGGCACTATACAGCGGGCTCGCTTCAAGGCTGGAGATTTACATTCTGAACCATTCAGTAAACATTTGACAGATGCAAACAGCAGGAGAAATTCAACACGGGTTGAGTTTCAGTCTAAAGCATTTGCTTTGCATCACAGGAAAGCGGCTTTGGCAAAAGCTAACCAAATTCTACCAGATTTTATTGACTTGGTGAAGCCATAAGCAACGATTTAGCCAATGCTGCGATGTCTATCTTGTTTGGATGCTGAAATAAGTCATAAATTAGCAGATTCTGCACAATCCATTTTGACTGACACAAGACTCATGAATGCTAATAATGAAAAGCATTTAAAATGTATCCAATCAAAATAATCCATCAATCAATCAATCAATGGTAACACTTGAATGGATGAAGATCTTAAATCTCGAGGGGAAAAACGTACATGTTTTTTTCATGTCTGTTTTCCATTCAGATGCCTAAATACTATGTTATTTCACATGTACAGATTATGATCGTTTTCATATAGTTAATACTTTTTAATCACTGACTTCAATAAAGAACAATTATTTTCAATTGTACTTATTTCTGATATTAAATATTATTTTGCTGTCTGCTACATAAAAAAACTTAAACAAATTAATTAAATGAACTTAAATGATTAGGTTTAAGATTAATTACACTTGTAAATTTCTTGATAGTTATAAAGACATCATGACAGTCATGTTTATGGAAGATTTATGACAGCTTATGTTGTCTTGATAAAGTGAAGTTATCATGAAAAAGACACTGGGCTCTATTTTATCAATCTATGCGCTAAGTCTTAAGTGCATAGCGCAAAAGCATTAAGGGCATGTTTGAATACACTTGCTATTTTAAGGACTGAAAAAACGATGGTCTGTGCCCTTGCACATGGTTTAACAGGGGGGTATTTGTTCTCTTAATGAGTTATAGGTGTGTTTTTAACATAACATGCGTTAAACCAATCATAGTGTCATATCCTATTTCCTTTAAGAGTCAATTGCGTCACGTCATGGCACATTCGCTATTTACATAGCGGACTTTGTAAGTGGAAAAACTAAAAGCTTCACTAGCAAGAAAACAGTTAAACAAACCATCTGCAGCACGAGGATAAAGAACGAGCCTCCTCCATTCTGCTGCTTCACTTTACTTTCATTTTTTTACTTTACTCCTTTACTTTTGTGGAGTAAGTAAATAGTATAAACTCACTCCAGTAAAGAAATCCATTAGCCCACAGAATTAATTTTGTTTGTTTAGTGCAAAAAAATTTTTCAAAAAATTTCTAAATTCAGTTCTAATTTTCAGCAAATAAAGCAACAATAATGACAAAGTGTGGTTAAAAAACTGAGTTATCTCTAAAGACACTGAATTCCTATTCTTATGCCTCATAAGGTGATGCATACATCTGTAAAAACCCGACAGGTAAACAAATCTGTAGATAAACAAAAAAAAAAAAAAATTGTTTTTATAAGAACAAATATAAATACGCATATAATAAATAAAATTAATAGCATTATACAAATGCAAATTGTCATGAATAAACTGAAAAAAGCCCCCCTAGGTGAAGGAGGTACTGTATGAATGAAGTGTTTTTATACATTTACTGTTATGTATTTACTGTTGCGCTGGTCTGAAAATAGGAACAAATAGCACCAAACACGTCTTGCGCTTTATTGCGTCGGGTGTATGATAGGGCTCACTAACAGGTTATAATGTATTTGTCTGTCAAGTTGTCATAAAGACAGCTCAAACAATGTCGTCTTTGCATTTTAAATGACATCACTGAGCGAATGACACGTAATGACAACTGGCATTGGCAAATCTCATTCATATTCATGACTCGTGCCATGTCATGATTATAAAGGTTTCATGACACCCCCTTTATTTGAACTATTACTAAGTTAAACACATTTTTAAAAAAAATAAAAAATTAAATGAACACATCACCTGTTAACATTTTCCTGTAAACAAACCAAACACAGAAAAGTATCTAATTTCAGGGAAATAATTTTGAAAGAGCACAACATCAAAACGCCTCTGCATATATTCATATTCAAATAGAATAAATCTTCATTAGACAATAGAATAGTTACATTTACACTTTTCCTAACATTTTTACACAACCGCAGAACGATGTAATGAACAGTGAAATCACCTTAAATATATAAATAAATAGATGCATTTTTATATATTAGTTCGGGTGATTAAGCGGTCATCAGCCTTTAATAACGGGGGAATGAAATATGAATAATTCATCAGGTATTTTGCAAGTCTGTGCACAAATAACAAAATCATTATTAACGCCAGTCAGCCCTGCAAGGTTAATGAAAGCACTGAGCACATACATATGTAAGTTATGGAGATGAAATTAAGCAAAGTGATTGTCTGACAGCTCGCTTAACGCTGGATAAAAAGACTATTAGCTCTATGGTCAATGAAAACGGCACCCCAAAAAAACAAAACAACACATAAAAGCTTTCTCGATGGCTCGTTTTTTGACTGATGTTGATTTTGCTAATGGGTGTAAAACCGGAGAAAAGCAGCCACCAATAATTTTGACAATTTATTTTAATGCAGATGCTATTTTAATGCTCTTTTAAAGCCAAACCTGAGCAAACATGAGTCTGTTTCAGTTTTTTTTTTTTTTTTTTTGCTTGGAAACATGATGTTATGTTTGAAGATGAGGGCTTGACAAAAAAGCCTGTTGACTATTACAAAAAAAAAAAAAAAAAAACAGGCGAGAGATGCAAGAGGATATAATAGATAGAGGATATGAACTGAGCGTAATTACCGTTCTCTGAGACAGATATAGTTCTAGCTCATTTCCTTAATGGAGCATCTTCACAATGGCAGCTCATGTATCCCACAGACCAGAACTCTGTTATCTAAATAAGAGCTCTACTGCTCTTTGTCTCTCTCTACATCCCTCTCTGTTGCTTTCTTTCATTGTCTGCCAAAAGAACTGCTTGCTTCCCGCTGCCACGTTGCCTTTTAGGCATTTAGACCCAAAATCAAACTCATATTATGCCTCTCTATTCAACTCTTAAACACTGTGCCCGTTCCCGCCACCACCCCTTTATTGACCCCCAACTCGCACTGCCAACGAGACAGATAATGGCGCTCGGCAGACAGCCACTGCGACTCCACAGCATTAAAGGAATGTTCCAAGTTCGATATGAGTTAAGCGCTATCGACAGCGTTTGAGGCATAATGTCGATGACTACCGAAAATAACTTCACACCGTTTAGAACAGAGCAGATTGAGGTTACAGTAAGGCATGCATTCGTTGGCCAGGCACTACAACACTGACATCGTCTCTGGCAGTTCAATAGGAAGTTGTTTTGTGGGTTTCTGTTCTGTTTTATGCTTTAAACTAAAGGCCAACTATGATGAAAATCAACTTTTATAAGCTGTTTGGACATAACTGTGTGTAGTCCACCGTGTCCACTGTTATGATGGAGTGATAGAAACACAGCAAGTCTCTCTTTTTTTTAATTTACTGATGTTAAAATAGGAACAAATCCCAGTGATTTTGAGGCCCACTGCAACGTGACATAGAGGTTTGGTTTTCCCCGTCCACCGAATTGACTTACAGGCACCATGTTTCTATGATAACATGTATACACAATATCGGCAGAACATTTTTATGCAAAGAAACATTAAAATATCTGTTTCAACTCTCTGTGATTTTAATAAGTTTACAATCATTTTAAAACAGCATGTTTGTAATAAAGACAAAGTAAAATCGTTATTTCTTAACCGATATAATCAACACGACCGCATGGTATCAGTAAATGGGCATTATGTGTGTGTGTGTGGTGCAAACAGCATTTGTGTGTGACTTATTATTTCAGAAAGGCTTGAATAAACTCCACCACAAATACATCAAATAAACTTATTTGTTTTTTTTGACTAATGAGCTGTATTTCAGCTTCATCAGTGTCTGTGTCTATCACTGACTGCTGTTTATCTCATGTAAAGCACTACTCATACAGTGAGATTTCAGCCATGATTTTGTCATCGGAGATGAAGGTATTTTTGGGGCAAATCTCCCAAGCAGCTGTAAAAGTGTAATTTGTAGTTGTAAAGAATAGCCACAAATGTGTATCAGTAAATTTGTACTCGCAGAGCAAATTTGCAAATGTGTATCAGTAAATTTGTACTCGCAGAGCAAATTTGCAAATGTGTATCAGTAAATTTGTACTCGCAGAGCAAATTTGCAAATGTGTATCAGTAAATTTGTACTCGCAGAGCAAATTTGCAAATGTGTATCAGTAAATTTGTACTTGCAGAGCAAATTTGCAAATGTGTAGGTATTTTTTGTCTCCAACAAACACAACGCAACATTTACACCTGCACAAATCCTTCAGTACAGGTGCACAAATCCCATCGGACGAATCACAAATGCAGAAACTCATCTGCTCATGTTCTTTGCTACTATTGTTTCAGTGAATATGGTGCAAAACACATTCACACACCTGCATCCAGAAATGTGAAGTCACAGACAAAACTTGCACATCTGTAGATTAGAATGTGTATCCGCACAAAGATAGCTGAACGTGTGTAGAATGTTTGATTTATTTTTTTCCAAGCACGAACACAAATATGTTCCTGCAACTGCTCAAATCTGCCGTTACGAGTCTCAAGCGCTGTTTTTCACTTGCAAATCTACGTTTCGCTCTCTCGCTCTTCTGCACCAAACATCACTGTGACATTTGGTGCAAAAGTGACTTGTGTATCTGCCAACCAAAACGTGGGCTCTCAGAGAAATTCAGCCAATAGGGGATGGTGCGTGACGTCACCGCTCTAGCGCTGCGGAGGCTGAACTTCGAAACCGAAACCCCCTTTGCGAGATTCGCCGCATCTATACCTGATTTGCGTTCAAAAATACCTGCTTAATTATTTCATAGTAGGAGCAAACATGCCTTAATAAAAGGAGCACATTTGAAACTTTAGTAACCATAAAAAGTACACCAAGTGGATGCCTTTCTACTCCAGGAAGCCGCAGCATACGGCCTGAAGGAGGAAGGACGCGGTCAGTTTGAAATGTGAGTATTAAACCAAAGACAATTCCTTGTGTTAAACTCGTATTTGTTGAGCTACTGTACAGTGCACTGTAGAATTGCTAAGGGTGTAAAGAGGCTTTAAATTATAGCCTATTTTATTTTGCTGTAAACGTTGATTATGTAATGTTACGTTCTCCAGTCAGCACATATAAAGTAACGTTTCAAAAGTAAAAGAGATAATTATCAAATGTCTGACAGAAAAATATTAAGTATTGCAGATCACAAGACTAAACAGACATCTGAGTGAGTGATGTATTTGTGCAGATGTAGAATCTGCTGTCAATTGACTGTTGCCAATTATACTGATACATGTAATCTTAATAAATGAGAATAAAGGGTTATTTGTTTAATCTGTGCATCAGTATAGTTGATCAATTAAAGAATTGTGACCGCGTGAGCTTCAAAAAACACGTTTTGACAAGCCAGACTCATTTACAATCTTGATTAAAGTATTCTGTTTTATTAATTAAAAAAAAATTCAGTCTGCAAAAGATGAAAGAGAAACTAATTCAGCATAGAGCGCAGATTTCTGTGCGCATCACGCGTCTGAACGCGCATTACCAAATGCACCTCCCTTTAATATCAGTCCATGCAGTCGTAATTCATACAATAGAAAGTCTTAAAGAACACAAACAGTTAAACAACACTGTGGGATAATCGGGAGATGTATTGGGCCTGCTTAAACATTATAGCATTTTTCTCACGGAAAGAGCAAATATTAATCAATCTGTTAATGACGCACAGAAACGGACAGATCACAGGCAGTTTCAGTAGTAAAGTTCGTGCAAAGTGCAACGTACACAATTCAAACACCAGTGCAAAGAACTTTGATGCAGTTTGTGTCAAAAACATCAATATTTCGACACATATCCACACATAATCTTGCTTTCGCTTTGCTCTCTCTAAATGCGCGCTCTTCTCTTGACGCGCGCTGCTGTGTGTACCTCATCTGTAAATTTGGAGAGGTTAGAAACTGAACTCATTTCAATATCAATATATATTAATTAAATACGAAAGCCGTGTAACGTGCTATCGATTGACGTATTGTCTTTTTTCCTCTTTAAATCTCTTAAATTATATGTGATCTCTCTGTTATTCGACTTTTAACTGATAAGGAAAAAATGTCAAAATCATACACAAGATATCTTAAACTGTTACTGTTCACTGTTGTGCTCAACAATAGTGCAATACCATATTAAAAATTCAGAATTCAATAATGAATAGAATAAATATTGATAATTCAAGATGTTTCAGGGAGCAGGTCGACACACACATACAGCGCTATGCTAAAGCACATGAAACGCCATGTGTGTGTCGATTAAAACATGTTATATGCTAAATAAATTCAGAATTTTTTTTTTGATAGGCTATAAATGATACTGTATTAGCTATCTATCTACCACTAATAAGTAGGCTAATATGCAAAGAAAATCTGCTATTCAAAAATTAGTTTGTTAGTTATAAAAAATACTAATGTCCATATTGGCTCTGGTGCATTAATAATAACATTAAGATTTTTTTTTAAATCACAAAATATAGAAAATGGTATGGAATGTTGATATTTTTTCAAAGGTATCATCTTAAAGTTGTAAATTCCAACACTACAGTTAAAACATATTTATTTTTTATAATTCAGCTTTTGCTGAACAAATGATAAAATGTTTTAATTTTAGGGAATAAAAAGTTTTATATTGTTTGTCAACTCTGTCATGGAGGATTTTAGTAATGTTCAGAAATAATAATAAGTTATAGCAAGACAAATCGTAATGTGTAGTTACTAAATTTTAACTGAATTGACAGTAATTTACAGTTTTACAACTTTTTAGCCAAATCTTTTGCTTTCCATAACTGCAAAGATCACGATACTGAAATCAGGATTAAAATATTTTTTATTTGTAAAATGTGATTAATGAAATATTCAGTTTTCCTTTTGTAATTGTGATAATAATAGCATTATTATCAATAGCATTATAGTTTTAAAATAAAAGTTAGTTTGCTTTATTAAAATGACAGAGAATAGTATCAATTATTTTATTACTTTTAAAATCATTGTTTATATATATATATATATAATTTGTCTATTTTTGTTGGTCCACCCAAAATGTCACTTGGCCCACCCTAAAGTTCCAAGCTGGAGCCGGGCCTGATCACATAGGTGATTTATTCTAGTCTTGATGTTACAGGGAGGCTTTTATTGAGTACAGTACAGGAACTAAAAAAACATATTTTACATTTGCTATTTATTGTTAGTTATTGTATTTTCAAACAGTGATTACATCAGCTTTCTGATTGCTGTTGTGTGTGTGTGATTTTTCTGCAGAGCTGTTGTGATGGAGCTGGACCTGTAGACAAGGGAACTAACACATTTGAGGTAAAAATAATCCAAAATAAGAGGTAGGATCATTTTATTACTAGCACTACAGAAATCAAATGACACATTGTGCAGTAAAATTACTTTGTTTTTTGAATGTTTTTTTATGTTTTGTATGATTTGAAATATCTGCAGATTGGTGTGTGTGGTGAGTGTAAAGAAGTCCACAGCAGCATCCTTGAAAAGCTGTAATGCAGGGGTGCCCAAACTTAGTTCTGGATGGCTGGTGAAGTTTAGAGTCAACTTCAACTAAACTCTGCAAGACAGCAGCAGTTCTGGACTGAGTTTGGCCACTCCTGTTCTCCTGTAGTGAATTAAACGAGACCCTGCATCAGTCCACCTGCCCTTGTGTCCTCATCTGGACCAGATGTTGCTGTGGTCTCTTCATCATCCGTATCTCGGGCATTGACTGCCATGCATCACCGTCCTGTTTCAGTCTGACTGCAGCAATGAGGGATGTGATGATGGCGAACTCCATCTGATCATCTGCAGAACTGGCCCAGCTGTGTGGAGATACAGCAAAACATGGGCTTCTGTCTGTAATACATCTCTGTTAGAATAAAGCTTGGTTTCATGTGTTGTTGACTTGTATTTATTCGTCATGATTACTTATATTCATTCTTTTAATAATATAAATATGTTTTTGTTTGTTTTCAATAAATAATGATAATACTTTCAATATTGTATGCATTTCCATTGTTTAACAGAAATGTAAAAAAAATAAGATGCATTGTCTAGTGACTTCAAGTAGATTTACTTAGTTAATTTTCCACATTTATCGTTACTAGCAATGCATTCTTGGCTAAAATGTTAAGTAAACATACATTTTTTGGAATGAAATGAATCATAAAACATGGTAGCATTAGTTATTAAGGTAAAGTTGGTTTTATATTTGCACATTTAAACATTTTAATGGTCCCTATATTGTTTACCATGGTACTTTAAATATTTGATCTGAATGACTTCAAAACAACATTAGCACAAATATTTAACTGACTGTGGACAGTGCTGTATTTTGATGGTCATTGGCTGCTAACATGAATTCCCTATATAGAATTTGAAAATCTTTTTCTGAAATTATATTATTAAGGAGAAAGTCAGAATGTGCAACTATAAATCCAGCTTCACCTCAATGCATTGGATGCACCCTGGTCTGCCATTTTTCTAAAACAAATATAGCTTATGAATTAAATAGTTTAATCGTATTATGTGATAAGACTGAATAGCAAACTTGACATTAGGGCAAGCTAGCCATGTTACCTTTCGTAAAACAAGAATTGTTATCCTAGCTATAAATACTGATCACTAACATAGTTATATTTAAACTAACATCAAAATGTACAACTATAATTGGTTTTATAAAAAGAAGCAATGAAAACGTACCTTAACTGCATTGCTGCTTTCAGGATGTCATTGATTCAGCTCTGCAGAAAAAGCACGCACACACACCAGCAATCAGACAGCTGATGTAATCACTGTTTGAAAATACAACAACTAATAATAAATAGCAAATGTAAAATATGTTTTTTTTATTTCTGTACTGTACTCAATAAAAGCCTCCCTGTAACATAGAGACTAGAATAAATCACCTCTGTGATTCTCATGCTCAAATATAACATGTTGGTGTAGTTGCTGATGTAACACAAACCTTCCTCAATTGATCAACTATACTGATGCACAGATTAAACAAATAACCCTTTATTCTCATTTATTAAGATTACATGTATCAGTATAATTGGCAACAGTCAATTGACAGCAGATTCTACATCTGCACAAATACATCACTCACTCAGATGTCTGTTTAGTCTTGTGATCTGCAATACTTAATATTTTTCTGTCAGACATTTGATAATTATCTCTTTTACTTTTGAAACGTTACTTTATATGTGCTGACTGGAGAACGTAACATTACATAATCAACGTTTACAGCAAAATAAAATAGGCTATAATTTAAAGCCTCTTTACACCCTTAGCAATTCTACAGTGCACTGTACAGTAGCTCAACAAATACGAGTTTAACACAAGGAATTGTCTTTGGTTTAATACTCACATTTCAAACTGACCGCGTCCTTCCTCCTTCAGGCCGTATGCTGCGGCTTCCTGGAGTAGAAAGGCATCCACTTGGTGTACTTTTTATGGTTACTAAAGTTTCAAATGTGCTCCTTTTATTAAGGCATGTTTGCTCCTACTATGAAATAATTAAGCAGGTATTTTTGAACGCAAATCAGGTATAGATGCGGCGAATCTCGCAAAGGGGGTTTCGGTTTCGAAGTTCAGCCTCCGCAGCGCTAGAGCGGTGACGTCACGCACCATCCCCTATTGGCTGAATTTCTCTGAGAGCCCACGTTTTGGTTGGCAGATACACAAGTCACTTTTGCACCAAATGTCACAGTGATGTTTGGTGCAGAAGAGCGAGAGAGCGAAACGTAGATTTGCAAGTGAAAAACAGCGCTTGAGACTCGTAACGGCAGATTTGAGCAGTTGCAGGAACATATTTGTGTTCGTGCTTGGAAAAAAATAAATCAAACATTCTACACACGTTCAGCTATCTTTGTGCGGATACACATTCTAATCTACAGATGTGCAAGTTTTGTCTGTGACTTCACATTTCTGGATGCAGGTGTGTGAATGTGTTTTGCACCATATTCACTGAAACAATAGTAGCAAAGAACATGAGCAGATGAGTTTCTGCATTTGTGATTCGTCCGATGGGATTTGTGCACCTGTACTGAAGGATTTGTGCAGGTGTAAATGTTGCGTTGTGTTTGTTGGAGACAAAAAATACCTACACATTTGCAAATTTGCTCTGCAAGTACAAATTTACTGATACACATTTGCAAATTTGCTCTGCGAGTACAAATTTACTGATACACATTTGCAAATTTGCTCTGCGAGTACAAATTTACTGATACACATTTGCAAATTTGCTCTGCGAGTACAAATTTACTGATACACATTTGTGGCTATTCTTTACAACTACAAATTACACTTTTACAGCTGCTTGGGAGATTTGCCCCAAAAATACCTTCATAGACAAGCTTGGAAAATCCTAAAAGTTTCCTGTAATCCTGGGCTAAAATGGGTGATCTTTGATCGGTGGTTTGACTTGTTCACTGACAGCCGCTTAGTGCCGCGTTCAGATTTTCCCAGATTTGCGACGAGCGTCCATCTAAGAACCAAATTTATATTTTTTGATTTTTTATTTTTTTATTTTTATATTTGATAAAGCAATCATGCGAGAATTCAAACAACCGCGTGGGGAATGTCAAAATCGTTTTTTAGTTTTATTGTTAAGACGCGCTGTGTGCAAAATTGCTGCTATAGATTGTTTAATTTTTGCTGTGGGGAATCGTTTCAGAATGCGGGATAGTGAAAGCGTCACGGGTGGATGACGTCAAACTCCGGGAACATTTTCTTTCGTGTTTGCTGCATCTTCATTATCGTTCAGACAGAAAAAAAACAAACAAACAAGCATGCACATGGGAATGGTGGGCGGGGAGAAGAAGCTCATATGCATTTAAATCCACAGGCTACAAAAACAGCTACACTGCACTCAGACACCAAAATGGAAACATTCTGGAGGCTATAATAAAATCTCTGATGGGTATTTTAAGCTGAAACTTTACAGACACATTCTGGAGACATCAAAGGCTTATCTTACATCTTGTAAAAAGGGTAAAATGGGTGCCCTTTAATTCACAATGAAAAAAATGCTATCTGATACATATTTGAGAAAAGGTAACACTTACTAGGCTTGTACTGGTGTTCTCCCTCCAAAAAGATGTCACTTCTTAGATGATGATGAGGTCATTAAGGAACCGCCATATTAAAAAGGATCTAAAGGGAAAATATTAAAGATTAGTCAACATTTATGCTAACGTTTAAATTTTATTTTCCTATTTTTGATTATTAGTTTAACAAATTATATCAGAAGACATCTCAATTACTTTTAAATACATTTTAGTATTACCAACATTATAAAATAAAGAATGCAAAATCTGCCAAAACAAAAATTATCATTCTCAATTTGTCCTCTTATTTACTCTACGGTGAATAAAATAAAATAAGATAAAATAAAATGAAATAAATGAAATAAGGTAAAATTAAAAGACAAAATAAGATCAAACAAAATACAATACAAAAAATTTAATAAATAAAAAAAGATAAGAAAAAGGTAAAATAAAATAAAATAAAAACAGAATAAAATTAAAAATAAAATAACATAAAATAAAATAAATTAAAATAAAATATGCACAAGCTAGACCAGATACAGTGATAATTTTTGATGTTGAGTCTAAAGTAATTTCAGATGCAGTAGACAATTTTATAGATTCATAGAACTGGGCATCGACACAAATGGCTGGGTCAGTTGGCATTTCTGTGTGGAGTTTGCATGTTCTCCCTGTGTTTGCATGGATTTCCTCTGGGTTCTACGGTTTCCTCCTAAAGTCTAAAGACATGCAATACAGGTAAATTGGGTAAGCTAAATTGGCCGTAGAGTATGAGTGTGAATGAGTGTGTATGGATGTTTCCCAGTTATAGGTTGCAGCTGGAAGGGCTACCCAAGACTAATAAAAGGACTTAGCCGAAAAGAAAATGAATAAATAAATGATATAAAAAAATGCATAAAGTGCAATAAAAACTAAATTAACACAAGCAAAGCACCTGTTTTTTCTTGATCTGTGTTTTGCCACTTGCATCTGCAAGCATTGGTGCTTTTGTTTATGCTATCTGACCAAGTGTTGCCGGCCATGGAATATCTAACATACAGTAATCTTTTAGCTGACCACACTGACAGCATCTGTCTATGGCCTCAACGGATTTATGGCCAGATTTACTAAAAAGGGCAAATTAGCATGAGTGCAATCTCATAAAAGTGCAGATGGGAGTAATTTTTTTTACTAGTAATCTTATCAATGCTGCAATTAAACAGACACAGCAGCTAATTTATTTTTCAAATCTAATGCAGAAGAAATCGAGTGCAAATTAGGTTAAAAATAAGCAAAGCTAAGAATTGAGGTAAAGTTGTTTCAAATCCGCACATTCGTTCAGGGATAGCTCCTTTTATTGTAGTTTGACTAAAATCACATGTAATTATGACTTCAAAGCAACATTAGCACTATTTAATTGACTGTGAACAATGTTGTACGTTAATATTCATTGGCTGCTAATATGATTTCACTGTTTAGAATTTGAAATAAATACTTTTCTAAAATAATACTAGGCTTTTAAGGAGAATAAAACCCACTTTACCTCAATAAGTTAATAGTTTAGTTAGCATATCTAATACTGTAATGGACTAATACATCCTTCTTTAAAAGTAACTCACTACTGCAAACTTGTATTTCGATTATTTTACAAACTCAACTCTAATTTTGCTCCTGACAGGAAAACTACATATGCATGTGCAACAAGTCACAAAAATCTGTATCCTTTTCAGCATTAATATGTTACTCCGTGTCATTATTTAATCTGGACAGGAGATTTTTAGTGCCAAAACAATGAAACTGATTGGATATCAGCTGACTGAAACAACCCAGGCTCATTGTGGAAATGTACCCAGGTCAACATTTCTTGGGAAAGCAAAATAC